CAGAAGAGAAGACTATGTCTCCTTTGAAACTCATTTCTTCTTTATGTGCCTCTAAAAACTATCGAACCCTAAAAGAAATATAAAAATATTTATATTCGAACATGAGAAGATTAGGAAACGAATTTGATTTTTCTTGCCTTTCAGGAATTGAAATCTGAGTCACGAAAATTGCGAGGAATTTTGGAGTTTCTCCGATCATGGCTAACGTCAACGTGCTTAGATAAATGACAATATAGTTGAGCCTATTGTAGAATTAATATACAGTTATAATGAAGTTTAGATAAATGACAATATAAATTGAACTGAGGTGTGTATATATACACACTATTGTTTATTAATTTACCATTATATTCACATGAACATGAGAAGATTAGGAAACGAATTTGATTTTTCTTACCTTTCAGGAATTGAAATCTGAGTCACGGAAATTGCGAGCAATTTTGGAGTTTCTCCGATCATGGCCAACGTCAACGCGCTTATCGTGATTTCATTGTTCTTCGTAATCTCTCTGATAAGCTTTATGAGAAGCGCAAGAATGCAGCTCTCGAGGTTTATTTGTCTTTCCAAGTTGAAGAAGTCGAGTGTGTAACAAGAGTAATTAAGGGCAATTTTGTTCCAGTGTGTAACAAGAGTAATTAAGGGCAATTTTGTTCCTGGATTTTTACCCTAAACCTATTTGACATGTGAAATTTGACGTATCAAGCCACAAATCGTCCTACAAAGCAAATTTTTGAACATTAAGTGGGTCTCATAAGTCTTATTTGTGTTTTCAGCGAGCCACATAGGATAGAAACACCTGATTAAAAAAAATTATTGGTTCAGAATCTTGATTGCAAACATTTTGAAATATAAATTTTTTAAGAGTTCAGAGACTAAATTTATAGTTGAGCCTATTGTAGAATTGATATACAGTTATGATGAATTTTAGATAAATGACGATATAAATTGAACTGAGGTGTGTATATATACACACTTATATACACACTATTGTTTATTAATTTACCATTATACTTCACATTTATATTTCAGATTGAAAATTTTGTCTTTTAATATTATAAAAATCTAAATAATATAAGACAAAAATTGTAACCAATATTTAATATTAAGAAGTAAAAATAAGTATAAATAATAAGTGAAAGTGAGCAATGACATAAAAAAAATTGAACGAGTATGAATAGCAAGTATAGTCAACGTGCAATACACATCATGAAAAGACTAGTGTAAATAATTAAAAGTGTGAATGTGATGACATTGGGTTCCTAAAATATATGTGCAAAGTTTATAGATTGACAATAATTAAGGATTTTAATTTTATTGGTTGAAAATTTTATTTGTTAAAAAATAAAGTTTAATTTTGATGGGTTATGTTACTTTTCTATTTGAATCTAAATTCTATTAGGAAGTTTAATCTAACTCTAAATAAAAAATTATCAAGTTTAATTCCATTCTAATTAACTAGAAAATAAAATAAAATATTACAACTTAAAAATTTTAATTGTTGAATGTGCAATTATTATTGTTAACTATCAGAATTGAGAATAATTGTTGAATGTGCAATTATTATTGTTAACTATCAGAATTGAGAATTAGCCAGAATTAGCCAGAATTGTGAATTAGCCCCCTGGAAGAATTAATCGGACATATATATTAAGAGAGAAATAATTATATTTGAATAAGGATAATGAAAATCCTATGATATTTGTTAGTTAGAGTTTATTTAGGAATCTAATAATTTTTAATATATATTTATATATTATTAGTAGTCTCTCCAGAAAATATTTATTATTTATGTCCAACAAATGTTATAGCTTCGTCTGAATAAGTGAGTTGTTTAAACTCGAACGCTTGGACTACATAAGTCCTACTCAAATCAAGTACTTATCCCAAAAGAAAATAAAAAATAATTATCAAACGAAAATAAATAATGATATAGTGTATCATTATTCAAATCTTTTCCTTCCTTTTCTTTCTTATTTTTTGAAAACTAAGTAAGAAATTAGGTGCTCGAAATCTAACTGTGGAACGCCAAATAAGATACATGTAGATGAGCTGACTAATCTATCTATATTTAAAATTTTTGGAACATCTCCTTCCTAATATGGAAAAATAAACTTTTGCGTTACAAGCTACATGAGAATAGTTTCAGAAAATGGAACAAAGATGTTATAGAATATTTTTTAAATTTTTAAAACCATTTTACTACTTCGCATACCAATCGATACAAAGATATAATCCTAAATGTTAAGAAAGCAGACATGTTTTATGGATGAGCTTAATCACTAATTTCAAAGAAATTAATTTTTTTTTATCAACATATAAACAAGCTCAAAATTTAGTAATCATACCTATTCATATACAAAGATGTAATAGATTAATATTTTGTTAACAAAAAAAATATTCATAAACTATTCTAGAGATCCCAACTTTAATCTTCAACGGAAACAAATTTTGTGGCATTGGATTAAAACCATAATAAATTTATTGCGCAAGAATGGGTTTAGGGCTTTAAGAGCATGAAACTAGAGTAATAATCAATGTTTTCGAAACCGGATCGGACCGGTTAGGCACGACCCGATAGCTGGTCCAGTCTAATTTGATATAAAAAAACGGATGATATAAAAACCGGAAAAACCGATAAAATTGGTATGAACCCGGTTTTACTTTAACTGTGTCGTTTTTGGAAAACAAAATACTAGCCTAACTTTTATCTATTCAATGATTTCATTGCCCCAAATTTCAATGATTTTCATTGCCCCAAATCTTTCTTTCCTTCTCTCTGCAAATTTCTTAGTCCCATCTCCAACCCTTGTTATAAAATTGGAAAATCTTATTTTTCCCAAAATTTCCAAGTTTCAGAAGATTGAAGATAATGTTGAGCTTCAAAATTTAACATATTTTGGTCAGATAAATTGATTAATTGGTTTGTCGTCAATTTTAGATCTTTTGTCAATTTGGTGTATGAAACCAAAAAACCTTTCTCAATTGTGAGTTGGTTCAACTTTTAAAAAAGTCAATTAGGTGTCAATATGATGATATTAAGTGTCAAAGTGATGATATGATAGCCGGAAATATGATTAAGCAATTTGTGAGTCCACAAGTATCTAGTCAGTATCTTACGTGGATTGACATGACATACTTGAGTTAAAAAAATCTAATCTAATGTGGCAAAACTAGTGAAATGACTGTCATACCTTATTTATTATTCTCTCTTCAGGTCGGATTTTGAGATATCTCTCAATTTATCCGGGCTGCTTTGTCAAAAAACTTATAACAAATACTAATTGAATCTTCATGATCAAAAAAGCAAAACAAACTTACTCATGATCCTTGTCCTCTTTTCCTCAAAAAATAACAGAATTTAAATAGTCATAAAAAGAGGTGTAGACTAAATACATGAATAGAAAACAGTAAAAGTGCTGAAAAAGATCGGAAAAACAAAAAGAACTAAAATCTTGAACAAACAAATCACTTTCTTTTATGAACAAACAAAACCAAAAAAAAAAAAAAGAAAAATAAATTATATAAAAAAAAAGAAAAATAAATTATATGAAAAGAAATAAAATCTTGAATGAAGATTTAAATTTCTTGCAGAGTCAAAATGTCGGCCTTTACTAAAAACCCAACAATATACTCTTTTTCCTTTAAATTTGCACAATTAATCACTTCAATTCCCTTCAGGCTCCCATAAACTAGCAACAAAATTACTAAATTTTGATTCAAAATTTCCAAAAAACAAAACTTCCTAATTCAAAAAACAAGAAAAATTAAAATTAATATTGATTGAACAGTACTATTTTGGATCGGCAAGGTTTTTTACAAATAATGCAAATGAGATTGAGCACGGCCTGTGTCGACTCAAAGAAATTGGAGTGAGAAAACTCGGGATGCTTTTGAGCCTCCTGAAAATACTTTAGGAGAGCACCACAGTCCCAACACTTCAACGATGCTCCTGTTGTTGCTTGATCTATCGATGGCTATGGTAAAAAGAACTATAATGTTATTTTGAGAAAGGCCATGTCGTATTAGGCTTTTTTAACTCAACTATTACAGGTCAGCTTATAGCTAGGATGCTGACCGAATGTTTATAGGGCCTACTAATTGTTTAATAATATTTACGACTACCACATCATCTGTTAACACATGATTAGCTTTTTTTTTTTTTTAAGGTAAACCACCCAATTGTAAACATTTGCCGTTCATATACTAAATTGACGAAAAATCAAAAGTTGATACACTAAATTTATCATTTATCCTTTCTTTTATTGTGTTTGTGAGAAAATAGTTTATAGGTTAAGTTTTGTTGATTTATTCTATTTATTTTCTATTAATTCCGGGTTTTTGCTTGGTAATTTTCTTGTGGGTTGCTCTTCCTTCTAGCCTTTTGCGAGTATTTTCTTGTGGGTTGCTCTTCCTTCTAGCCTTTTGCGAGTTTCTCCTTAATTTTATTGAAGGCTTTTGCTTTATTTGCTATTTTGCTTGGTAGCTAGGTTTGTTTTTGTGTATTTGATTTTATGAGAGATGCCTCTTCATAGGACCTTTTGAACCCGATTTCTGTTTTATTCAAAAATCTTCTTAAATTTAGAAGAGATTCGACTGTTGGTTTACTTCACTTTAGTAATGGAAAGGTAGAGCAAATAACACCCCACTTTAAACTTTCTGTGGATACAGTGAATGGTATTGATATAACACTAACTCGAAGAAAATTACAAGTATAATTCATGAGGACCGTCCGATGATTGTTGATTTGGATTCCATTCGGTTGCAATTACTTCGGTTTCAATTTTGTGGTCAAGGAGGAAGCACCTGACGTTGATTATCACGAGTATCCGACACCGTTTTGGTACCAGATCCTTTTTCTTTTTTTTTCCGCTTTCATCCTCAATAAGTCACTGTAATGTCTTATGTTACAGTTCCCTCTCTGGACACAGCCGTAATATGTAATGTAACGTGGCTGTCTTTGTTTGTTTCTTGCTTTTTTTCTGAAATTTAATTGGAATATATGTTGCTTATAGGCTACATCTCATTTATCAGATATTAAATAAACAAAAAAAAATATTACTCTTGGGTACAAGACCAAGAATTGTGGTAAGAAGACTTTTAGTAACTTCATAAATAACAAAGTCTGTTTCTCCCGTTACTGTTGCACGTTTTGGGTAAAACAAGGACCTTTCCGGTGGATGATGAAATTACACTGACTGCACTGCAGAGCCAAGTCCTCGTCAAAAGGCTCAGCGCAGTGATCACATGGCGGGTAGAACTTTCTCTTCTTGACCAAGATAAAAGGACATGGTCGGCCGTAGGAAACTTTCTCTTCTGACCAAGAATAAAGTTTCTGGAAAAGGTTTCTGGACTAAAGTGAGACCATGTGAATGGATTCCACTAAGTGAATAAGCACTACTTCTGTCAAACTTGATATATGGGTACCTTCCAAGAACACATTCAGGGTGAATAGAAATGTCACATTCTTTACACCCATAAAACCAGGGTGCATAGTTGAAGACATAAGTCCCAGGGTCTATTCTCATCTCGCATACCTCACAGTAATGGTCAAACGACCTGTCGCTAACAAAATCATATGTAAGCTTAAGAGGATGCTTCTCATCAAATCTGTGTCTAACTGAGATTGGTAGAGTAGCACATTTCAAGTCTAAACAGAAGTTGCAATCTTCACACCAACCTCAAAAAATTAGTGCTGAACCTTGTTTCATGTAGCGCAAGCGCTTGCACATGGACAGCTATAGCTTCTTTTGCTGAGTACTAGGCGTAAGAAGGTGCGTCCATGGCCATGGTGCTTAAAGAGTTGTTGATATTAATAGGCAGGAAACATCTAATAATCAAGGTTAGAAATCACATTTTCTCACAATTGGTAGCAAAATCCAATGGCCAATATTGCTACAAGCATTACATGCTTGAACAACCCATCAAAGCTATATGCTCTTAAGAGAAGAAAGAGTAAGCGAGTGCGCGGTGAAGTGGGTGTTTCTACTCTTAGTAAGACAATTCAAGAGCATTTCCTGTGCAGGAAACATGTTTCACATGTAGACATACCAATGGTTTTATTGAAAGCAGGACGACCTAATTGGTAACATTACACCCAACACAACGGTTTCTTGTTGTTTAACCGATCAATAATGCCCAACCATGTTCGATGACTAACACTGTTTGTGTCTGCAGACTGTATGTTTCGTCTTGCATTCATCATCAGCTAGTTGATTAAAGAAAAAATCTCCAAGAAGCATCAGTTACCAAGTTTGTGAGTGTTCATCTTCAACGCGCCAATTAAATGTTTGTCTTTGCGGCAGATCGGACCATGAAGACAAACATAATCGCAGAGAGAACAACAATAACACCCATTGGTTGCGTAAGTTAATTTTCAATTTGGACAAAATTCACAAAGATTGAATCTTTGTATTCCACCTTATTCTGAAGACAATAGAGTGGAGTGTTATTACCATGTTTGATGCTCTGGTTATTCTAATAGCTTCAGGTCGTGAAATTGCATTCTTTATACCATTAATTTTGACACATAATTACAGAGTATAAGGAGATTGAGTCCCTTCGTTCCCACAATGGTATCACAAAGTGAAGATTAATTGATCTTCATTCAAGTGAAAGAATTGATGCTTCGATAATTACCTGAGCTGTACTCCCAGAAAAAACACATGGCTTTTAAGGCACAGACGGAGTGGTCGAGATCGAATGCATATGAGAACAATGTAGACCATGTTGTTCTAAAGCATCTACTGCACACGATCACAAAGACACTGGTCCTGCAAGAAATTGCTGGACCGATTAAGAGAGTGAGAGGGTGTTGTTCGCTGTGCAGAATGGCTGGACCATTAAGAGAGTGAGAGGGTGTTTCCTGTGCAAGGGATGGTTGATCTCTCGAGGTAGCTCTGCACAGGCTTTATGGAGGAAGAAGCTGCATTTTAAACAATTGTAACTAGGACCTGATATTAGCTGCTTGCACCCACAACAAACATTGTTCTTTTCGTCATTTATTTCTTCTTCATTATAGATCAAATTATGAATATGGCCGAAATGTTCAAGCTCCATATCCTCCTCTGTAAAACTCTGTCTCTCTCTCCTTTCCCTTGTTCTTCCCAGATTTCCTCTCCATTTTCTTTCCTTGGCCTTTTTCCGTTCTTTTTCTTTCTTTTCTCCATCCTGACACGCAGACCGTCTACTAATAACTTCATTTATTATTATTATTATTATTATTATTATCCAAAAATCTTATTCCACACATAACCCTCCCACCCAGATATTCAAATAAATAATATTAAGTTTATCCCATTTTATTTACTTATTATTCTTATTTAAATAATATAAATTATTTACATGATTCTCATTAAATGAAAGATTTTTACTAATATTTTAATGAGTTAAGGTAAAAAAGAATACAATAATTTTTTTAATTAAATTCTTAATACGCGGTGTTTTGTCAAACCATGTAAATAAAATGGGATGAAATGAATATTTAACGAAATTGAATAATATTTGATTTATTTTCTATATAATTGGGCTATTTTGATTTTAGTATTTTTAAAATATAGTGTGGACTAAATTAATTAATGCACAACCTCTCAATAATATTTGAGTTGTTTTTGGAATGATAAATTTTAAATTCAAATCACAGTCAGAAGTGAATTTAAAACAAATTAATAATAAAGTTTAACAAACAATTCAAAAGGTCACAAATGTGTTTTTAATATATAAATATACCAAATAATTAATTAGTGAGAGGACATACAACAGGCAATTTAAAAGAGCCAAATGCATATTTTGGACCTTGTATTAAATATATGCATTTGGCAATTTAAAAGTTCCACTTGTGTATTAAATATATGCACATGCATGACCAACTTGTGAAACCAATAAACAAAAATGTTGAACAAAGTGAAGTGATAGATTCCCTGAGTTATGGGTTTATTTTCACTCATTATCCCTTAATTATATTTTATATTTTTAATTATCCCTATATTTCAATTTATTATTTAAAAATACCTAAATTACTATTTAAATAATATATTTTTAATTATCCCTATATTTCAATTTATTATTTAAAAATACCTAAATTACTATTTAAATAACATAAAAGTTTTTTCACCAGTTATGCGGTAAACAGCCGGTAATTTTGCTGACATGTACATATTTTTTAACAAAAAGATTTCATATATGATTTTTTAATAATTGTTTTCTCTCCCACCTTGTAATTTTCTCTCTCCGCTGTTCCCTCTTCCTCTCTCTTCTTTGCCGCTCACTGCATTCCTCTTCTCCATTGTACGATCATAGCTCTTCCCCACAGCACCACAATCCCATTTTTTATTATTTCATGGTCAAGGAGCAACACCAAGTCAAGGAGCAACACCAAGCCACCAAACACCAACTAAACCCTTCTCTCTCTCTCTCTCTCTCTCTCTCTCTCGCTTGTTTCTGATCCAAACATCTTTTCCTCCATTAATGGTCATATAGAGCATTCAATCCTGATAATGTACACTCCATTTCTCTCTGTAAAAAAATATAAAAATTCAGTACCACTCTCCTTCTTGATCTTCATGTTTGTATAGATCTTGTATTTCTCTCTATATATTTGAAATCAAATGAAATCTTCTCCATCAGACGGATGACCATGGTGCTTGGTAGGATTTCTCTTTTTTTTTTTTTTTTTTTTTTTTTAACTTTTAAAAATTTTTTTTTAATTTATTGTGTTAGTTTTTCAATTAAGATAACTATTATAAAAAAAATTTTATACCGCTGTATTCTCCACTTCATATAATTGTGGTTATATGCTTCCATCTTACTATGTAATTTTTACCTAATATTTTTTTTCTCCCTTCGGTACCACTCTTTTTTATGTATGGAGAAAGCTTTTTTAAGTAGTTTTCCTATACTTTTATCTTCTCCATTTTTTGTAATTTAATTTATCTACTATGTTGTTGGAGTTTTGTCGCTAATGTTATCTAATCCTTTTTTTTGTTTTTATAGCTTTAAGAAGATTGAACTAGAGCAAAGAGAAGATGGAATAGTAGGAGAGATGAAGGGAAAAATAAATTAAAATGGAGTTAACTATTATTAAAAAAAATATGATGTGGCATTTTGAAAATAATTATTTGTTTTTGTACTAAGTTAATTCCTGATCAGCTTTTCACCCTGCAGGTAACTGAAAACTGGTAAAAGGTTCCGTTGTTACTTCAATTAACCAAGTCCAATGTATATTTTTAGCTAACAAGATTGAAGTATAAAACAATTTAGAAATTGAGGAAGTATAGTTAGACAAATGAGAAGTATTATCGTGGGACGATGGATGACAAATAAGTCTGAGATTTTATATATGTTTAATATCTAGGGTAAAAAATAGTTTATGCCTTAAATTATATTTCTAATCTTAAATTCTACTTTTATCCATTTAATTTTCGAGTTACAATTATTCATAAATGTTTCTAAGTTATTCTTTAAATTCTTTATGTCCTCCTTTCGATATAAAAAATTTGCACCGTAAGTATTAGTCTATTAGTATATTTTTTTGCGATGGAACTATTTGCTTTTTTTTAGATGAAAAATTCATTATTAACGACCTTAAAAGTTAATTTTTCAAATAGAAGTGAGAAAAGTCATGAAGTTAGAATATAATTTAGGGAATCCAAGTATATTTTTATCTTATACTTTTATATTATGTTTATTTAGATATATTAACCATAATTATTTAAAGATATTTAGGTAGTATTAATTTAAAATCTGCAAAGATGATTTTTCTTTTTCTTTTTTTTTTTTTGAAATAGAATGATTGATTATCTATTAAAAGGATCAAGAAACAGAACGATCCTGCACCAAATAATTGCAGGAGGACAAGGCCCACTCCATCAAACCAGACAAGAATTGCCTTGACAACAGATTGGGCACAAGGGTCACTGATTCTTCTTTTTTAGCACAAGTAGCAAAGCGACCTACAGCATCTGTAACTCATTAAGAAAGAGTATCTTACACTCATTTACAGACAAAACTCACACAAAACAGGACAATCAGAAACTAAAGTGCAATAAAAACTGGGTATATGCACCCAGATAGTCACTTCTCAACACTTCCAACAGGCACTTCCCAAGAAACCTTTTATTCTTTTAACCAGCTTAAGGGCCTCAAAGAAAACTCAAACAACTTTAGCCATAGTTGCATCTATGAACACCCTTCCATTAACCATGCTGCCACCTCCTTTCATCGACCTTTGTCATCCTACACAGCCACCCTAAACCTACTCTATGCGGTACACATTCCTACCTGTATCGAAAATTAAGTTTACATAGGCCCACTTTCGGAGCACACCACTTCACAGGAAATCCAACTGACCTTGAAAGCCTCCACGTGCTAACTTGTCTGCGCCTTTTGCCATTCATCCATGATTGCCTAGCTCTTTCTTATAATGGATCGAGGGATGGGAAACCTGTTTTTGATGCCATTACCATTCTTTGATTTTGACTTCCACCAAACTTCCATGCTAAAGTAAAATGCTAGGCCCCATTACTGTTCCTAGACACGATTAATTGAGAATCGGACTCCAACCCACCAGATATAGAAGTACTCTCGTTCACCACCCCAGGTAGAGAATTGGCTCCATGTGGCTTGAGCTATTGGACAATAACTCACGACAACATGAAGGTGTCGTTCCTCAATCCACCCCACACAAAGGGCATTGTAGTGTTTCATGTCTACATGGAAGCTTTCAAATATTACCAGGATATGCAGACATCCCTAACACCACCCTCCAAACAAAATTTCTTGATCTTCTCCAGTATACACAGCTCCACACAGCCTTCCAAAGGCCTGTTCATGAACGGAGAATGATAACTCTTCTCCCTATATCGAATCTGATTTCCGTCCGAATAGAATAGCTACCTTTCGTTCCCCACCACCAAAACTATGAATGTTCAAATCCATAGCACTCAATAGAATTTGTCTAATAATATTACACTTATGAGGAGAGAACAACATTGACAGAGCTTCATATGTCCCATCAATCCATTCGCCCATGGCTTAAACAAGTTCTACGACCTCATGTTCTTCCATACCTGTGTTGTTCGATGATTTGCACATATGGGGAGCAGTTATATTTGGCAACCATGGAAAATTAAAAATCGGAGTCGAAAAATCGTTTCCAATATCTCAGATACAAACCTTTTGAGAGCAGTCCCAGACTCTCATGATGCTACTTCCAAAAAAAAACCTAGGCTATTACCCTTTCGAGCTTATCGAATTTAAAGCTCATTCTTTTCCACCTAGCCTATAACGTCTCGCCTACTACAGAGCTGTGATTGAATTAATAAACGCCATGTTTGTTTTTACCAGAGAGCAATTGTTAAAGTCCCTTAGAGCTTAAAGCCCAAATTACATTCCTCTTGCGATCATTGTATATTACCATGACAGTGCAAATCGGAGCTTCCTTCTTTACCATTGCCGCCACCAAAAACGATTCATTGCCTTTTTTTTAATGGAATCAATTTATCCTTGACAATAAAGTACATTTCATCAAGTAAGTTAGGAACAAACGCTACACAAACCGACTTAAGAAGAATCTCTTTACTGGGCCTGAGATAACATTTTTCCGCATCCACCACCATAATCTCTTCACCAACCTCATTAACAACATATGAAACACCCCTTCTTTCGTCTTTCCAATAATAACAAGGCAAAAGCCAAAATACTTAGAGCAAGAATTCGGCATGTCCAACTCCCATAAGGAGCATATATTCATGCTTGGATGAGCGTTAATGTGGACACTAAAGTGAATTTTCAGTATTTATTCAAAGTCACAACTTACCTAAAGCTTGTTGATAAGACCAGACAATTTTATATGATAAAATGCCTCCAGAAGAAAGAGCCCTAAAGAAATAAAAGGCATCGATCAGCAAAAAATAAAAAAAAAAAATATGAGAAATCACAGGAGGACAGAATCTACCACTTACATCCATGAAGATTTGACCCGCCGCTAGAAATTTTTCCAACATATGCTACGGGGCCTCGCGTACAAATGATTAAATTAATATGTTATTGATATAGGATCACTTTGTCACAACCCCTGCTTAGAATAATAGGCCAATCTGTTGCATATGCAAATATCTATTGACAGTATTTTGTAACAAAACCCATAATTTTTATCAAACCCAATCACTGCAAAAACTTAGTTTTAAGCATAAGCCATTATAAGAACATCACCACTTCCACCCGGTCATATGCCTTGCTCATATCCGTTTTTCAGCACCACACCCAACTTTACCCTAAGTCTTCACTTAAGAACAGCTGCATTAATTTCATAAAGCGATTCATAATATAGTCCGTAATAGCTCTACTTGGGAAACAAAAACACTTTGAACACTCAAGATAACATCAGGATAACCAAAATTTTCATTTACTGTTAGCTATAGCTTTGTTTACAATTTCTATTTATTTATGTTACACAGTTGAGATGGGTCTTAAATCAAAAATAAACAACTTCGGACTTACCTTTCTATAGGAATTACAAATGATATTTATTATTTAGTTCCTTCCTAAGAGAGTAACCTTATAATTAAGAAAATCAAGATAAGCTACACTCACCTTGTTACCAAACCATCAACTAAACTGTGATAGAAGCTAGGAGGACAGTCCATTTGGCCTGGTGCCTTGTTCCGGAATGCATACTTTACAGCTTGGCTTGATATCCTTCAACGGTGAACAAGCGCAAAAAGAATCTATTCTTCTGTGAGAAGGCTTTGTACCTTCCACTTAATTCACTCCAAAATTGTTCTCATTCATCCCCTTTGATTCGATAGTACATAAAATTAGTGTAATTATGCACATGTAGTACTTTAGCCCATCATCCAAAAGCTTTTCCACTGACCAATTTCATCTTTTAACTGCACAAATGTGTTTTCTTCGACAAGCAAAGCTATAGTATGAAATAGCATGTATTTCGATTCGCCATCTTGTAACTGATACTACTTCAAACTCTTTGTTGCCAATATTGCCTGTTGTTCCCTAACACCTCTTGAATATGCATCTCTTGTCGCCCTGTATAACTCATAGAAATAGGCTCATTCTTAACTTATACAAAGCCATATGCATTCTGCTTTCTCGTAACTTTTTTTGAATAGACAATTTCTGCTTTTCTCCCCACTGAGCAAGGTAAAAACCACAACGATATATCGGGTCCCTAGTATCCAACTCAAAATCCACATCTCCAGGCCTCTCTGACAACCTTTAAAGTTTGGTTCCCATAGCATTTTCGAACCTTCTTTAACATAAAGCGAATTGAAAAAGGCACCCCTTCAATTCAAGTAAATGGCACAATGATCACTTGAAACAACTTTGCATGTGAAAAGACGAGGACCTAGGAAGGAGATTATTTCAAGAACACCAAAACGCAGAGCTTTGTCAAGCCGTTGAGGACAACCCAATCCTCTGTGCCTCTATTCCCTTTCTCACGTAAACTGATTACCCACAAAACCCACAGATCCAACAGTTCACATTTATTTGACTGCATTCCCTGAATACCATTGCATTAACCAGAGGACTGTCAACCCTTTCCATCTTCTTGAATGGATGGAAAAGATCATTGATACCCCTTACCAAGTCCCATTGTAGGACGACTTTGGCATTCAAGGATTTTAAGGACGATTCCCATGATTGTCTTCCTTGATTGTGATTTGAAAAACGCGTAGAAGCCTATGAAACGAAGAAAGGCTCCAACCATTTTCAAACAGCCACCCTAACATCGATTGGTTTATGGCTTATAGCTTATTAAGAGAGCCAACTGGGTTTCTCTTTCCAAAGTTTAAAGCTAATTTGCCACTATGACCCACATTGGACTCTACCACAACAAGTGCCATCAATACCAAGAGCCTGGACGAAACGATCCACCGTAGACCAACCCATCAAGGACTGCCATTTAGAAAAATAACACTATTTGATGCTTCAAGGACACTAATTCTTTTAACTTCATAACTGTACGTGGGTTCCCAAGCCTACAACACTTCAAGATAAGGCGGCTGGACCCCAGAACTCGCCTCTAGCAAGTTTTTTTACCTATTAATAACTTCCATAATTTGACCAATGGTTTCCATGTTATTAGACTCCGCCACTTTTAGACAGCCACAATTAAAGAGGTTCCATATTGAACAATATTTGGCAATGGGCACAATAGTTTCCTTAAGTCTGCATGAAATCTTTTAGAGTTGACTCCTGCGGATATCTGCGTGATCATGAGATTCTCGAACTGTTGGGGGAGCGCCCACCGTCCCCCTGGCTGATCGAACTCCATAATGCTACCACTCCTCTCACTTTTCCGCCAACCACTTGAAGTCTGCTTCCGGACAACAACCACTTGTCACCAATGTTCGATTGCCTTTCTATTAATCAACTCGCATGCCAAGCACCATAGGTGAACTAATCACGAGGGAAGCTTAGGTTATCAAATAAAGTTTTACAAAAAACGATCAAGGTGCCTAGCACACCAAAAAAAGAAGGAGAAAGTTGTTTTGATAACCTTTCAATTACTTAAAAAGTTATTAAATCCAGTCCCCGCTCAATCTTTCTTTA